GAGAGCACAGTCCCCATGACAGAACAGTCCCCATGAAAGCACAGTCCCCATGACAGAACAGTCCCCAGGGAGGGGTGACAGCCAGGTCAGCGTGCCCAGGACTGGGGGCTTTTCCAGCTGCAGGGATGGTGCCTGTGGCAGCTGCATCCCTCAGGAATTGGCTGTGCAGCATCCCCCAGCAGGGCAGGGGGCAGGAGCTTCAGTCTCTGGCATTCTGCAGGAGTTAATGGCATTTAATGGGATTTCCTGCGTGTCTCAAAGACTTGCTGGGCATCTTCAGTTTGGTTGGTTCTGAGGGGAAGGCCTTTGACTCCTACACAGCATTCCAGCAGGCTGAGCTGAAGATCATTGAAGTTAGCAGATCAAAAGACTTAGAGCTGAAAGAAGTGGTAAGAAAAACTAAATTTTCTGCCAATTTTTCTGGAATTGGCAACCTCTTTAAGCTAAAGATGAGAGAACATATTATCAACACAATTAAATGGAAAATAAATCCATTGTGCTATTTAGAGGAGACAAAGAAAGAAAACATTTGCATTCATAAAGCAATTCTTAACCATTGTAATTTGCTACCTCAGGTTTTAGCTGCCTTAACTTTAGAAATTGTCAGTTAAATCAACTGATAATATTGAATCTTGCCCTGGTGTCAGGAGTTAAACCTTCTAATAGTCACTTTTTTCTTTTATAATGTGTTATTTTTGAATCAGTGAAATTTTCTGTCTTGAGTCAGAAACAGTGTGAATTTTGGAAATAGCCTTGTAGTGTGTCCCTTGTGCACGTGCTGCTTTCCACCCAGTCCCCTCTCCCCTGGCCCAAACAAGTGCATGTCTCAGCTGAGAGATAAGGATGGCTTTGCTCATGAGATGATGTCCTCATACATTTTGTCCTTATTGTCCTCCCGTTATTGTCGTGTTCCTGCACTGACAGATCACAGCTCCGTTGCTCACAGGCTTGGAGACTTGGAAGAATTAAAGCCCAGGCTGTGATTGCATTTGGGAAGTGCTGTGCATGTCCTGCACTCTTGAATTCCCTGTCCAAGCTTGTGGGGCTCTGAAGGTGACCTGGAGCTTTGTGTGCCCTGGTTCCATTTGGGGCTGTGACTTCCAGGACAGCAGTGCTGGGGCACAGGGCTCCCTGCAGCCACCTCAGCCAGGGCTGCTTTTCCTGGCCTCCACTCAGCTGCTTCCACACCCAGAACATTGGCAGAGGGCACTTTTCTGGTCTCACTGCATCCCAAGGCTTGTGATCACAGCCTCTGGTGGGACAGACTGGGAAAATGCCCTGGGAATGGTGCAGACAAATTTTAATGGATTGACTTCGAACTGTAATAAAGGAAGATTAATTGCCTTATCCTAGATGCTATAAATTATTTATAGTATGGATTTATATGAATGAATAGTAGATTTTAGGAAGGGAGGCAAGTTTAAAAAGGGCAAATAACCCGCAGCATGGGTATCTTTGTGTCTTAACTAAATATGTTTGAATTCATGTAAGCCTTGTAATTCCACCCAGCTAGACAAATGCAAGGAAAGGAGGGACAATAAATGCTTCCAGAGAAGATATTTTCTGAGAAAGACAAAACCTCTTTTTTTTTTTTTCATAGTTTTAGAGTTAACATCAGTGTGCTACAACTTAATATGCCTTAAGAGGGAAAATATATTTTTGTATAACTCTTATCTGCTGAATATCCAGTTTATTTGCTCATTTGAGCATAACTGGCTGTGTAGTGCTCTGCCTTTTTAGTTCCAGAAACTTCACATACAAATCTGTGTATAGATCTCTTCCATCATCTTTAGCAAATGCAAACCAAAGAAAAGGACTCTGCCTATCATTTTATTTTATAGAATGCTATGAATTTGTAAGCATTGTTGAAAAACATTGAAATATTTTTTAGCCATTCCTGCCTTTTCCTTACTTTTAAAAGATAAAAAGTCACGTCTTATTTAAAGCTTTAAAGAATTCCAAAATGGATACATGATAATCTTTAAAATATTCTAATAAGCACTGTATATAATCAAAATAATGAACTTGACTTCAATAATGGGATTTTCTTTTTTTCTTTCCTAGTTAAGCATACAGTTTCTTATAGCCTGAAATAGACAGCGTGGTAAAATGTTTTTGTTGTGGTGTTTAAATAAATGCAGCGTGGCATTACTATGTTTTTGGAAACCTGAAATCTGACTCACATATCCTGAAGTAGAGTCAGTAGCTCAAGTAAGACAAGACAAAACACTTTTGAATTTTGAAAATTCTGTTCTTTTGAAGACACTGCATAGAAATGGGAAAGTATCAGAGGTTTGAGAGCTGTGTTAACCTGTGGATAAACACTGACTTGAACCAGTCTAATATTTTGTAGTTTTCCTTTTGTCTCAGAGTAAAAAACTTCAGGTATTCATTGATCGTGTTATATATGAAGTTTTTTCCTTTAGAATCTATTATTTAATGAAAGCCTGTGGAGTGGTTTCTACAGTTAGTTCTGTAGCAATATTTTACCAGCCTTAAGCAGGGAGAATATAAACAACCCCTCCAGCCAGAACAGCAGCTGCTCATCTCAGGATTAGAGATTTCTTATTTTTAAGCCAGAATCTGGAACAGTGTAAAATGATCAATAAATTTCATGATGTGAAAAATATTTGAAGAGGGATCATCTGATGCAAAAGAATTGCTTTGCACTCCTAAAGAGCATGGATGTTTTCCATTATTTGTAAAATCTCCACAACGTGGGACACATGAAGTTTATATATCCATAGTTTTTACATTTGGGTATGAATCTCCAAGATTAATCTCCAAGATAATTGAAAATAATTTGATGTTTTATTTTATTTTGCTTTTGCTTTACTGTTCTTTTCCTCTTCCCAGTACCAGTCTCTAAGGTCTAAACTTTTGATAGACCTTAGCATTTGTTCGTAATGTACTTTTATTTTCTTCCCCCAATATAATTTAAGAAATGTTGTTGCTGTCACTCATTTGACTGCTGTTATTGCTCATTGGACACCAACTGGAGAAAGCTGAGGCTGGTAGAATTGTACTCAGTGTATCCTGAGGGTTCCTTAAGTAAAAATACCATCAAAAGTATTCTTTAGGAAGCAGTAAAAGGAAAGTTTTGGTGCTTTTTCTGTTTGTTTCTTTGAGTTTTTTTGTTTGATTTATTGTTTTTTTAAGAGCTCAGACCCTTCACAGAAGCAGAAGGAATAAAAAGCATTTTCTACTTCAAATATGAGTTTCATAAGGAGTTCCCTTTTCATGTGAGCTCCTGTTTTGTGTTTCATTGTGGTTCAATTGCATCTGCCCACAATCAGGGGATGCTTTTTGGCTCAGTACAGCCTGTGTCCCTCCGAGCCCCAGGCACAGCTGAGTGCCACTGCAGCACTTCTGTGGGGCTGTGTCTTCAGGCAATTCACCTATTCCAATAACAAATACACAATACTTCAGCTGCCCTGCAAACCAGAATCCCAAATGCCATAAAAAGCTCTGAAATTGCATCCATCACTTCTCATTTTTCAACATTGACAAGACTTTTGGCCTTCATCTATTACATAAACTCACCAATTTCTCCTCTGGCTGCACAGTCATTACAAGATAAAGAGATTTGAGATCCCTGTTTTCCATTTCACCTTTCCCTGACACATCCCCAGTTTAATCTTCCCGTTGCTTAGTTATTGCAAAAATGGACAAAACCAACTGCTGTGAAGATAAGTATGCTTTCTTCTGAAAGATCTGTTGCAACACAGAAATGAACTTAAAGCACCCAGATTAATGCTAGAATATAAACTAATTCAGCTTTAGAAGGATCAGTCTCCCCAAGTCCAGTTTCCTAATGGTTAAACAAAAGAAACAAGAAAGGAAAAGAATGAATTTCAATTTGCCATAAATATATTTGAATGCTTTTCCCAAATAGGCAGAGAGAAAAAATAATTTGTTAATTGCCCACATTTATTGGTGGCCAGAGCCCTCTCCATTGTCTTGGTGGGTTTACTGCTTTCTTCACAAAGGGAGAAACTTGAATCTCACTGATGTCTTGGGCTGTCACAGAAGACAAGGCAGGGAAGAGTTTGTGGTTGTATCTGAGGATTTTGTTTGGTTTTGTAATTTTTTATTTTTTATTTATTAATTTGGTATCACTTTAAGTGTAAATTCTCCACCTTTGAGGTGATTTCTCATAACTTACCAGGTATTTTCCCCAGCATCTGGTACACACAGCTAAATAAAAGGTATAGATATTACCTTGCATCTGAGTTTACTGCAAATGGGGTAGATATTCCTTGGTGCAGTGCTCCCTCTTGCCTGGGGGAGTACACTCCTCAAATTGAAGTTCCTTTAGCTGTCACCGTTGTATTCCTTGTGTAGGAGTTCCAGTGACATAATATTCAGATTGTGCCTGAGGGAAGAAAGCTCAATTTATAAGCAGAGCAAAGCTAAGCCTTTTACATTTCCCCCTTCTTTTATTTTGTGTCTTCATCTTTTCCAGTCATCAGGAGATGGGTGGTGAGAGGGTTCAGCAATAAGACAATCTGGTGATGTGGTGTAGCCTCTCCTTAAACATCTTTTTGTGTGATCTTCCTGTGTGCTTCGAGACCAGATATCCAGATGTTCAACAGCTGGATTTGAAGGATAGGTTTTTCCAGAAAAACTTCAGATCCCCTGGTTAAATTGTAAAGAAGTGCAGACTTTTATCAGTGCTTAAAATGTAGAAGTTTGTTTTCTTGACAATGTAGGGAACACAGAAGTAATTGTAGGTATTTTTCCAAAAACACAAAGTGAGAGTGTGACCAAGAGTTGAGTGTTCTCAGCCACTCTGCTGGTGTCTCACCATTCTGCTTTGTGTCATGTCAGGTTGGGTTTCTCTGCATGCCCTTTCTTTTGCACCTGAAAGCAATTCCTTAAAAAATGTCTTAACCTAATTAGGCTGACAGTTTGGAACACGTTAAAATCGTTTTGCAAATCGCCTTTTTATGTCGGTGTCTTAATTGGAGGGATGTCTGCAAGTGTTGGTTTTCTCATCAGTGCTGTACAATGTGCATGCCATTTTTCTTTTATATCTGAATATTTATTGTAGGGATTTTGTTAGTGGCTTTTGAGTAATACCATTAACACTGGAAGTATGTTAAATAATTTCTCTTTCCAGATAAAACGAGCTGAATGGATATGAAATGCAAACCAAATTAATTAGGCATGTTTTTTTTCTGTTTCTAGTGAACAAACACAAACCCTGGATTGAGACATCATACCATGGAATCATAACTGAAAACAATGACACTGTGATCTTGGACCCTCCCCTGGTTGCTTTGGATAAAGATGCTCCTGTTCCCTTTGCAGGTAGGAATGAACATGGGCAGCAGCATTGGAGCCTGGGGAATGCATTGGGAATTTATGGGCATTTGTAAGGAAGGAATTTCCAGTGCAGTTTGACACATGTCAAGGTTTCATGGAAAGTTCTGAGTACTCAGGACCTGACTGTTGGCCCACAGATCCTGAAATGAGATGTTTCCTGCACTGAATTTGTTGTGAAGCAGAACAGAATAAAGAGAATAATACAGCAGGCACCCACTATCAATATATTTTTAATGAAAACACAATAATTATGCAATTACACTTGAATTTGCTTTTATGGAAATGAATTTTAGCATTTTCCTAAAGTAATAATGTATAATTAATTTTGTTCAGCAGTAACAGCCCCTGCTTTCTCTGTTCCTGTTCTGTTCCCTGGCTATGGATAAAATGTGTGACAAATATTTAAAGTTGCTCAAATCATATCTTACTGTGTAAGTACTTTGTAACTGTCAAGAGTTGATGGAATTAAGAAAATTTAATGGAGGTTTTGAACATTTTTGCTCAGATTTCTGTATGATAGATGTATGTTATATACAAGTTTGCATTTGTATTAAGTCTATTTTACCTGACATTTTTCTGTCCCGAGTCTCTTAAGCAGAATATGGGACTTCTGCATGCTGAGCAAGTTTTCTCTTAAATTCTCTCTTTCATTAAAAATACATTTTGAAGAAAAGGGAGAACAGTAAAGTTTGATAGCTGCTCTGAGGATCCTAAGATGGTGCAGTTGTTAAAAAGATAATATTGCTTAAGAATCTTCACCTTTTCTAAGGAAAGGAACTGGTAAAGGTGAGTATCCTTTTTTATACATTGACCCCCATTTTAATATCAAGATTTGTTTGTCACTCACAGTGCCCAGTGATGCTTGGCTGCATGAAGATCAATTCCTAGTGAAAAGAGGCCCTTCTGATTTTTTTTTTCCTTTCTTTCAAGTTTTCTGTCACTGTGGGTGTTCCATCTTAATTTGGATTCTTTGGCTTGCATTCCCTTAGGATCCATCCAGGGGTGTTAATCACGTGCTGTTGTCACTGCCACTGCAAACTCTTCCAACTGGGAATTCATTAGCCTGATTATTTTCTTAGCTTTTACATTGGGAGAATCAACACATTTTTCATTAAATAGTGATTTACTTTTCTTGTAGAAAATTATCCTTTCAAATACTGAACTTTGGCTTTTGTGATACAGGTTCTGTTGGACAGTAGTTTTAATTTAGCTTCTTCATTTATTGATTTGAAGTATCTCTGTTGTGAGAAGTATTTACTTCTTGCAAGGGTAAGTACTTTCTGTGTATTCCCTGATATTTATAGTTCATTTCCTGATATTATTTGGCTTCATGATCTGCAGTCCAGGCATAATAATATAGTATTGATTGAACCTCTCATTTCCTTGAAGGGCCTGCATTCCCTGTTTTTGGAAAAACCTCTATGCACTTTTTAAAAAAATTCCTTTATTTTTAAATGTTGGAGGAACTTCCTATTTCTGTTGTAATTTTTGCTTTAATATCATGTACTTTTATTTGGTTTCATAGTATCGTTATTTCAATAAAGGTGTTTGTGGAAAATTCAATTTGCATCATGTATTTAGTAGGAGAAAGCTGAAACAGAGACAAGTACAAAATTGACAATATTCAGTAGCTGTTAATTTAATAGTGTGGTAATGTGGAATATCTTTTATGGCCATATTTTGTTTAAATGTGGAAATTTCAGTTGTGTAATATATCAGTTTTCAATTGTAACAGAGAATCAGAGCTCCAACTGTTCTTTTATCATCAGCCTGTTAATATTTTCAGTATTTTGTGCAAATACTGGAGAAGAAAAACAGTGCTTGGAAAGTTCTCCATGTTTGCTTGGTTGGTTGTTTTTTTAACAGGCCCAAATTCAAGAATGTATCAGGGCAGTTTCTGATCTGTGCTGAGATCTCCTTGAGCAAACTGTAGTAAGAGTAAATTTCTGTGATTTCTCCTCTGCAAAAACCCCTGCAATAGTTAACAGGCAGATTGTTGGCTCTTCCATCAGGATTAGAGTTACCTTATAGAAGTAAACTTCTTTTTTCAGTAGTACTAGTGTACATTTGACTTTAAAAACACACTTCCTTTCATTGTCTTCCATCAGAGACAAGTTTAGGGGAATTTATCACTGTGACAGGTCATGGTAGGGGAAATGCCTCTTTATTTAATAAATTTATCTACCAGCTTAATACTTACTTATTCCATATTTATATGTTGCTTGTGAGGATGTAGTTCTTTTGGACATGTGCTTAACTTAGTCCTTGTGTTTGTACCTTTCTGCTTCCCCTGGTGCACAGGTAGTTCATGCATTTGTATTTTTCACCTGGGCAAATAATTGTTCACCAGGTAACTGCTTTGGGACTAAACAGAACTAAGCTGTTAAGAGGCATTTGCCTCTTACCAATTAATTTGATAATTTCAGTGATTCTTGTCTGCCCTCAGTGCTTTGATGTGTTTTCTATCCCCATGAGCTCATTTTTTTAGTTTAAATGTTATTTGTGGCACAGGCCTACTCCAAGCTGCAAACAGTGTTTTGATTTTCACTTATGGAAACTTTAATGTTTTTTTTCTAATACCTCTGCCTTTTTTCATCACCATGGCTACTAAGGTAAGTCTGTCAACCCCTCCTAGGAGTGCACACATTATGGTGCACATCAAACCTGAGTGGTCACAGGAGAAAATTACTGTAATCTGCACTTTTTTTCCACCTCTGTCTAATGTTTAACATCAGGGGTGATGACAGGAGAAAATTCTGTGCATTTTCCTTCCCAACAGCTCTGTGTTCCAGGAAGGACTATGGAGAGACTAACAGGACTAAATGTGCCTGTGAAAGTGCTGCCTGTCAAATGTGATCAGCATTTTTCATAACTGGAGCATGAAGACTTTCACAAGACTTCAATGAATGGCTTTTGGTGTCTCTTCATCTAATGAATTTATTGTGAATAATTGAAGTATATGTAAAGTCCTGGTTCTTAACATTATCATGGTATAAGCATACCTCACTTTCTCTTTTTTATGCAATTGTATTTTTTGTCTCCTAGTTTTGAAGAAAGCTTGAAAATAACAGATTGTGAGAAGTTTCAGGATCAGCAGTTTTCTGTATTTCAGTTTTTCAAGTCCTGGCCCAAAAAGGATTTTTACAGACTGGTGTTGAAATGCAACTGACCTTTAAAATAACTAAACTCACCGTGGCACCTTGGAGCCTTTTGTAGGATATCAGAGACATTCCCTGGCCCTCTTCCCCTCCCCTTGGCCAAAAAATACCCCCCAAAAAATAAACCCCTACAAAACCTACAGAGAAACTGTAAGCATTGTATAGGTGCAAAGTGGACTTAGCTCATTTAGGGACATCCATGGGAGCAATCTCTGTTTTAAAAAAACTGATCAAATATCCCCAAAAGAAGGATGTAACTTTAATTCAATTTACACCACCTGGCACAGGCAGCCATGCAACAATCAACACCCTTTCTGGTGGGGAGGCTGGGAGCCACTTCCAGAATTTGACTTTCAGGCTTAGGGGTAGTTTGGCCAGAAACAAGGTGGGATCTGCTGAATCAATTTTCCAGGATTCTGTCTCTCACAAAATGCTGTGAGATGATGGAAGGCTTTTGGAAGAGACATCTAGCTGCACTCCAATAGCAGCAACTACGTTTCATCAGCAGTGCTGTGCAAAAATAGATCTGAAGGGAACTTCAGGATGTCCTCAGTCCATCCTCCTCCCTTGTCATTCCTGAAAAAACAGTTTTCTCTCCTAATCTTACAGATCTGTAGTGGCAGAGATGCACCAGCTTCCCTGGGCAATCTGTTGTACACTTCACCATACTTCTGGTATTTTGTGAAGCTTGGTCTGAAGTTTCTGTACAGTGCTTTTAGTCCATTAGTTTTAGTCCTATCCACAAGGCAGAGCAGATTTTTCCCACTCTTTTTGTGCAGAAGCCTTTTATGTTCCTCCCTAAAAGCACTGTGAGCATCTTAAACAGCCTGGTGTGGAGGGGGCTCCTGCTGTTGGTGGTGTTTTCTGAAGCAGAAAAACAGCAGGTAATACTCAGGGCAGTGAGGGGATGGATGTCCCTTCTCACCCTGGAAGAGCCAAACTTGTCACTGTGCCCCCATTTCTGGGCTGATAAAGTCACATTTGAGTGCCTGGTGTCCCAGCAAGGCTGAGCTGGGTGATTGTACTGGGGTGAGCTGGGCACATGACGTCTTCAGCTGCTTTTATGCTCTTGATAAATTTATAGAGAACCTTCTTAGCGAGGTCAGAGGTCTGGCTCCCCCCAGACACGTAATCTTTGTCTCAGAAGCAGTTCCAGTTCACACCTCCTGGGCAGATGGAGTCCCAGTCTCTGACTGTGCTTTGGCTGTGCTAAAAGCACTGTAAAGAATAAGGAGACAATAAAACCAGCCAGGAAGGATGCCTGAATATTCATATTCAATATCACTAAACTACAAGCTGCAACCATAAACTCTCCAAATCTTCTTTTTTATTTTTAGCAGTTGAGAGTAGTGTGTGTTGTCAGCTGCACCACAGCAAATCCACTGCTTGTCTCTTACACCTTCCACCTAGGAGCTGAACACAAATTCCCATTGCTCTGCTTCTGACTGTGAAGCTGCCCAGCCTCCTTGTTTGTCTGTTTGTATTGATAAGCAGTGGCATTAATAACAGCTACTATCCTTTTGGTACAACATTAAAAGAAAAAAACAGAAATTATTTTTAAGTTGTCATTCTGAATATTATCCTTTCACTGTCAGCCAGACTTAGAACATGAGTCAGTTTAGGTTGCCCAGAATTCATTGGTGTTAAATATCTCTCTGTGAAAATGAGACATGATCAAAAAATATGAAGGCAAAGCCATGGAGTGTTGCAGTTGTTTATAACAATTTTTAAATGGTTCTTTATTTCTACCTTTGAAGCTTACCTTTATTACTGTAACTTAATTAGCTAAGACTTTAGCCTTCAAAGCCAAAAAAAACAATCTCTTCA